AAACGACTGCAAAATATTTACAGTGGCCAGTATAACTCTACCAATGACGGTGAAAAATTGTCGACAATTCTTTGATTGATATAAAGAAAAAAAGAAAATCATGTTTAACACATCTACTTGGTTTCATTTTTAAAATGTGAAATTCTCTGTCTTAAGTTTGCCTAACTTTTCCTTTCTTCAAACACGCTGTACAATTTCTTTTTCTATTCAGTCATTCTATTGAACCTTGAACATTAGGAACAGGTGATGAAATATTAAGATTCCTTGTCGTTTAATTTGATATTCAAAGCTCAATAAAAGGAATCACACAGCAATTTTTGTTATAAAAAGAAAATTTCAATCTTCAAGATTATAATAGATTTAGCTCTTTTTTTTATGCTTCTACACGTTTGAATTTTGACAATTTTTTGAAAGGAATAAGCTCACAACTGTCAAAGTAGAGACTTTGTCGTTTCAGGATAGCATAAAGTGGATTGTTACATGATTTCTTTTTACGAATGATACATCAGTTTCAATTATCGACAATTTTTCACTGTCACTGGTACAGTTACGCTCTTCACTTTATTATCTGAAATATCTAAATATTTATTTTTATTACCATATTATAAGCACTGTTGGTTGATGCGTAGTATCTAAAAAAAAAAAAAAAAAAAAATTTCAAAGTAAAATAAAATAAAATTTCAAAATAGATACAATGAGAAACCTTGCATTGATCTATTGCGTTGGTTCGTGAATTAAACGTATTCTGAAGGAAATAATGCACGATTTCAAGAATGGCCAAGCAGGATTCACTACTCAGAGGAGTAATAAGGAAGAGCTTCTTCTTTTTTAAAGTTTATCACGTAACGAGAGCAGCCAACTGCGTTTAGGACATTTAGTTTCTGTCACTGTTAGATCGCTATGATTCTCCTTCTATCAAGTACATTCTTTTTTAAACTATGTGAAAACAACTCTAAAATATAGAAAATAATCTGTTTCGCCTGGCGTGGGTAAAATATACTTAAAATTCTTCCATTAAAATAGCGAGAAATTAAGCAAAAGTAATCCTTTGTATATTAAATCTTAAAAGAAAAAATTAGCGATCAGTAATTAGTTTGATAGAAATAAATAAAGGTCTGGCAGATCTTTAAAACTTAAATTACACGTTGAGAAACGAAAAAAAGAAAAGGAATCAAAAGCAACAAGATCTATACTTAATTTAAACAGGCAGAGGTTTCCTCTCAAGTTCAACTCTGTCGCACTCGATACAGATATAAAAACTATAACTTGATCTACACTATAACTTGATCGCTTTCCCTTTTGTAATTCTCCTACGAAATTGTCGAGACGTTAGAAAAGAAGAAGAAGAAGAA